TCACTAATGGTAGAAAGACTCTATTATAAAATCTGGGTAGTGATGGCCAACAGGAAGCCTGGGCACATGTGTTTGAGTGACTTTCTGACTTCACATAGCAAATACATCCTGTTACACAAAGAATGGGAAGGTGGGACTGGGGTAGGGTTAGTGATCTAAGTCTTGGTAGAGAAGGCCTAAAGAAAGATGGTGATTTAGACTGACAGGAAGAGGATAACACTGTTATACATAGAAGGAATTTCAAATAAGGAGGGATGAAGGTGCAGAAGATGGAAACAAGAAGACATGCATGAGATGGCACAGAAGAGAGCACAGCTAAAGCATAGATACCTCCCAGAAGAGTAGGGATCAGAAATATGTGTTCTAAGGGTTGATGACATAAGAAAAATAAGAGATTGGGTCTCCCTGGTGGTGAAAGGGGTTAAGACGCAGCACTATGAACCTATCCACAGCCACCACAGCAAGAGTTCAATTCCCCGGCCGGCCAGGAAGGTGACCCACATGGCGCAGCAGACCTCTCCTAACTCGCCCACTGCTCCCCTCAGCAGTGTGCTTTGATAGATGTGCCTGTTCTGTTTCTCACTGTCTCTGGTGAATCCTCTCACCTCCCTCACCTCTGGCCTATACCCCTGTTCTTGTAAGCATAAATAAATAAACCTTTATAAAAAAAAAGTAAGAGATTGAGACATTGGCTTAACCTTAAATTCAGAAGCCCGTGTTTGCAGTGGACAAAAAGGTGACTCTCCAGATGAAGACACCACAAAGATATTTAGTGAGAACTGTTAAGTGGCCCTGCTCTTTAATTACTTAAAGGAGGTGCTTGAACAGCATACCTAGTTTACGGGACCTCATAGGACTGATTTTTAAATTGTGTTTCTCTAATAAACTTAAAAACATAGAGAAAAAGATCAGCCCAATGTTTTATCCAGGTAATAACTCTGGAATGTATACAGAGCCAAATATGTGGTAGGCATTTATGGTTGAATAGCATGGTGTGTTAAGGACATGGACTTTGGGGAACCAGAATGCCTGCTTTCAAATTCCAACTCTGTTATTTGCTAGCTAGGAGAGTTTCAGAAAGTCACTCAAATTCTTTGTCTCCATTTCTCCAGTGTAAAATGAGACTATCACCTCACAAAGTTGTGGAAATTAAATGACCCACTCATGTGATTTTTTGGACCCAAGCCTGGCGCATAGGAGCACTAGGTAAGTGCCAGCAATTTTTTTCTGTTGTTAACTCACTACTTGATTTGTTAACCCCAGGGCAGGTGCATCCCCAATGCAGGTGGAACTGCTTTTCTCAGCCACAATACCTAGTGAGTCATAATAAAATCAGGCTGCCAACTTCCTGAACTATTGAATTACTTGAGCTTCCACATAGAATTGCTATTTAAAAAAAGTTACCCTTTCTTTTTGAAGTACACAGATTATAGAGGCCCTCTGCTCAACCCCACCTTCCCTTTTCAAGGACATTAAATCCCAAAGAAAGCAATTCGAAAATGATTTCTTTTAAGGCCACCCTTTTGTAGTTCCTTTTTCCCTATACATTGTCCTGCCTCATTTGTACTTAAAGAAAAATGATACTTCGTCCATTATATTGTCATCCATACCTGGAGGCTTATAACCGCTTTGAATAAGTGTACGTGCCTTTCATATGTATGACTCGATGTGTATTATCCCTGCCATTTCCCTACAGTGGGGATCACCCTACATTAGGAGAATAGTAAACATTTGGGTAGCAGTCTAGAAGATAAAGTGCACTTTTTCATGGCCCAAGAAAGAAGATCTGCGATACAAATGATCAACCGCTAAATTTCACTTTAGTCTCATCCCAGGTACTGTCTTAATTACATACACTCTCATCAATGCACAAATGCCATGTGGTAGGCAAAATAATGCCCTCCCTTACCAAAGATATTCACATTCTAATCCCTTGAACCTGTGAAAATATTAGGCTTTATGATAAAAGTGAATCAAGGTTGCAGCTAGAACTGAAGTGGTTAATCAGATGATCTTAAAATAGGGAGATTATCCTTGTGGACTCAATATAATCTCAAGAATACTTCAAAGTGGAAGTGGGAGGCAGGGGTTCAAGAACTTAACCTGCTGTTGCTGGTTTCGTAAAGGGAGGGGTTCATGAGCCAGGGAGTGTGGGTGGCCTCTAGAAGCCCGAAAGGGCAAGGAAATAGATTTTCCGTAGAGTATCTAGAAAGGACCACAACTTTGCTGACACCTGGAATTTAGCACAGTGAGATCTGTTAGATTTCTGAACTACAGACCTCTAAGATAACACATTTGTTTTAAACCACTAAGTTTGTGGCAATTTGTTACAGCAGCAATGAGAAACTAATACACACTCCATCTCTGAAGATGGTCCTGGGCATCTCTGGGACTCTATCTCCCAGCTTAAACTGCCCCCTTCTCAACTTTGTCTTTGCTCATCGATTCAATAGAAGTTAGTGAGTACCTACTCTGCGCCAGGCATGCTGTTAGATCCTGGAAACGCAAAATAAGATGTATGCTATGCTTTTCAATTCCTCAACAAATATTTATGTACCTGGGCTCAGAGTTAAATGCAGTAAAAATGAAAGGAAATAGCTCTGCCCTAAAAAGACTTACAAATTTCTGAGAAAACAATCACCATAAGTTTAAAAATATAATGTAATATAATAAGTGCATGTTATGGGAATATAGAAGAGAGATACCTATCTTGGCCTGATGAAATCAGGAAAACTGTGGAAAGAAGAAGAAATGGGACTTGGATCAAGAGATGTTTGCCAAACCGAGATGGGGAGAATTGTTCAAGAAGTTTGAAGCAATGTGGCACCTAAAATGTGGTTATTGCAAATGAGGGAACATTTTAAATTTTATTTCATTCTAATTGATACAGAAAGAGCCACATGTGACTGGTGACTGCCATATTGATGGAGAGGATTGTACCAGATTGTGTCCTTAAAAGAAGGTGACTACCTCTTTCTCCTTTTTCCACTTCTCATTGACTGGAAGGCAAATGCGGCAAATTATCGGGAATCATTCAGATGGGCTCACCTCAGGGAGGGCAGCAAGGAAATAGAAGAGACTTGGGTCCCTGACACCATGCAACCATCTTTCAATCTGACTTATGCTTAGACTGTTATATGAGAGAAATATAAACTCCAATATTGTTCAAGCTATTGCTATTTGTATTGTATAAGAATTTGTATTCTAATACATGTCAGCTAGAATAATCAAAAGCAATACTCAATCTTTGCTAAGATTTTTTCTGAGCGTCCTTCTATGTGCCAATATACCCCCATTTTGCAGGAAAAAGTCTTATAGGAGTGGCTAATTAGTGGTTAGGATTAGGCCTATCTGACAGGAAATCATGTTCTAGTGTATGGATATAAGATCTTATCATTAAAGGTGGATTGAATGTACAACTATGTTTTAAAATGCAGAGCTAATATTTATATTTCTGATAGATATTCTGTTACCAACCCAGCACCCATTCCCTCCTTATTCCTGAGAACAGAACTCTAATGTGTTCAAAGAGTGGGCAGAGATTCCTTGACATTGGGTAAGGATCGATTGCTATTGCAAGAACACAGGCTAGAAATCCTGGCTGGTCTAAACTAGTCATGGTAATCTCATTCCCCTGGCCATTAACTGGTCTATGGATAGGTATGTAGCACAGTTCTGATCAATGGCATATAAGCAAATCTGATAGGAAGAATGTATTTTTCCATGTAAAAAGTCACAATCCTGCCCGGAATGAAGATGCGATGCAGGAGACATGGCCTCTATCATGCAACCATGAAGACATCATAAGAATGACAGTAGAGAAATAAATGAAGTCCTTGCTGATATTATTGAACTGCTGCTCCTTGTCTAGACAGCTATCCCTAAGCTTCTTGTAATATGAGGAAAACAACCTCACTTTACTTAGGCCAATAGAAATCTGTTTCTTACCTCTAGCTGGAAGTCATTTTAACTGATACACTTATCTTGTTTTCTTGGCAAAAATAAGGAAAAGCCCCATCATTTACATTGGTTCCCTGTAATATTGACTATTGCTAGACACCAATTCCCACTTGCTCATCCATAGTAAGAATCATTTCAGTCTCTTTCAAAACACATATTTGGGGATTTATGAAAACTAACTTTAAATAGGTAACAGAGCTCAGATAAAATGCAGTTTTCCCTTTCCCACCCTCAAACTGAAAAAAAGGTTCCTCTCAATTTCTTGAGTAATGTATAGGTATGAAAACATTCATATGCTATTGTTTTAGACTTAATATTCTGAAATTTTAAAGAAATCTCTGTAATCTTTATGTCTGGAGTTCCAGAGAAAAGCAGAAATACTAAACTAATACATAATATATATTAATTCACTGGCTATACATATCCGCCCCAAGACTAAAGAAGAGTTGAGGCAGTTGCAGGATGACTGAGGTTTAAGATTTGATTTAGATATGTACATAAAAAGAAATGGTGTTTTGCTTTGAATTATACCAAAAAAAAAAATTGGTTCAATCTCCTTGCTGAATGTGTCAAAAGCAATAAATAGTAATTATGAAATCAATTATCTAGAATTACAAATTCTAAAATATTTCAGAATGCTAGATATTTGCAATAGAAGGGGAAAAGATCTAACCATCGCCAAATAGAGAACTACATACATTTAATTATCACCACCTTAACTATGTGGTTAATCTTTAATCTGACTTATAAACTGAAATGATCATGTGGTAGCTGTTTTTTTATCCTATTTCATTCATTAAATAAAGGAGATTATCCATCAAACAAACACATTTTTTCCAAGGATTTCAGAGTAAATGACCAGACGCATTTTTCTTTCAAACACCAAGCTATACCCAATATCCCCAAATAGTCAAAAAGATATAAAATAGCAAAGTAAGCAATATTCAGGCACTTCTCAGCATTATTTTTGCATTTTGATGGACCTGACAAAAGCTGAAAGAGCAATTTGAATATAGACAATATTGGAAAAAGAAACATACCTTAGAGATGATTAATGGCTCTCCGTGCTCCAGACCACCTTTCAAAGTAAAACCCCAGGGAGCTCCTCCCTGCAGGAATGCTTCCAGATAAACGTATCTTCCTTCAGGGGTCGTGTTATGGTTTATGGTGGCACTAGTCTTATCCAAGTTCTCTGTGGCCCTCATCATGCCAAACATATCAGTTAAATTTTAAATGCCTGGAGTGGACTCAGGAAAGTGAAGCTTCTGTAGCACAAATTATCCCATCCTTTAGGAGACTCGCCACGTCCAAAAGAGGTTTTGAGCAAAGAATTCTTTCAGGTGTAAAAATGTGTTCTTCCCAGCTTAACTTCAAAATCCTGAACTGGGAGGATTTTTCACTTCAACATTTCTGAATGTAAATTCTCCTCCTGGAATTCCCGGTGCTCACTGAAGCCCCCAGTGGTACATCTCTCTCCCCTCCATTGGAAAAATCTTTCCATGTCACTCACGATTGCATTTATTTCACACGTACACATACCGCTAAAACTTTTCTGTATATTTTACAGAGAAATTTTAAAATCTTACAATATAGTAAGAAAAAATGCAAAACTCAAATGAATACCTCGTTTTTGATTGATTATCAATCAACCCTTTCTTCCTCTTGGAGTGAAATTTACCATTACAATAGCCTCCCCTCTCCCCAGAAGTAGCTTTAAAAGAAAGAAAGCACTTACTATGCTTCTGCTCACTTCAGAATTTTCTAACTTGTCCCCAAGAGACAGAGAAGCTGTGCTAACATTTTTTGCTTTTGTTTTCCAGTCATAAGTTCACAATTTGTTTCTTGCAAAAAAAAAAAAAAAAAAGTTTTTGCAACTGTAGAGAAAAATTTGCAAAAGTATGATGCATTAATCCTCAGTAGAAAAAAATATCCAGGAGGCACACAGTTCTTTCTTTGGTATTTTCAGGGATGATCAGTCACCACTGCAACCGAGGCAGCCGCAACTTGCTTCCTCTGAAAGAAAGTAAAGAAGTAAGAGGAAAATGGATTAAGGCAAATAGAGACACGGCAACTTTTCTGCACAGTAAGCGTACTACGTAGAATTCAGTCAACACAAAGACCTGACCAATCAAAACAGTCTTACAGTTGATAGATTGTGGAAAGTTAAAAATACCATACAGATGGCTAATTATTAAGGAGTAGCAAATAGTTTCTAGAATGCCCCACCTTGTACCAATTAAAGCAGAATTCCTGGGGGTGTGACACAGCCATTGGTTTCTTTCTTTTTTTAAAACTCTGGGCAATTCTGTCATATAGCCAAGTTTAAGAAGGAGTACAATAAGCAGTTTTGGTTAACATTTAAATAAGTCAAGTTGGTAGCATTAGCACTTTATTACTTTTTTTTTCATTAGAAGGAAATACTAAATGAAATATCTGACCAGACTCTCATCTTGAACTGAGATTCACCAATCAAATTTCTGTTTGTTTGGCTCAATACAAATAGGAGGCAGACTTTCTTCTGTAATTTGTCATCTACTCCCAGATAGTTTGTTATACATTCTTTAAATGGAAAAAAAAAAAAAAAAAAACCAACAAAACAACTAATGCCTGGCAAGTAACATGCACTCAAGATTGAATGTTATTCTGGTTTAAGATTATCAGTGGAATTTTGTAATAATATTACATAAAATTAAACATTACTGTTTGTAGCTGCAGGATGGCCACAGGGCAGGTTTTCTGTGATACGAGCAAATGGGTGTAGGGGGCAGGAATGGACACTGAGCAGGTTTACTATCACCCCATGCAGACGGGGTAAAGGAGGAGAGAGAACTGGAGCCCTCAGTGGCTCTTGCAGGCTTTAATTGGGATTTACCAGGTACACAGCAGGCAGGGGTGCTGGGGGGCTCCCAGCCCCCAGCAAGTCTTCATTCTTTCTGGGCTCTCTGGCGTTCTCTGGTGGTCTCTGCTGCTCTGCTCTCTCATTCCTTCTGCTTCTGCTTCTCTGCGTCTCTTCTCTGCTTCTGCTGGTGTCCCTGTGATGCCGCCCTTAAAAGTCCAGTCTTAGCCCAGGTGAATCCCATCAACATAGGCCCACACCTTATTCCAGGTGTCCCCCATCAGGCATGCATTCGGGACCACAGGGTTCTGTCATCTATTCTGATGGCGGGAGGACAGAAAAGCCTGATACTTTTTACCTTACCCTACACGGGGTAAAGGAGGAGAGAATCCTAGAGCCCTCAGTGGCTTTTGCAAGCTTTTATTGAGATTTACCAGGTACACAGCAGGCAGGGGTACTGGGGGGCCGGTAGGCTGGCAAGCCTCCCAGCCTCCAGCAAGTCTTCACTCTTTCCAGGCTTCTCTGGTGGTCTCTGCTTCCCTTTCACTCTCCTTCGTGGTTCTGCTTCTGCTGTTGTCTCCGTGACGCCTCCCTTATAAGCTCAGTCTCTCAGCCTAGGTGTATCCACTTATGCATGCCCACACCCTACTCCAGGTGCCCGCCATCAGGCATGCATTCAGGACCTCAAAGATCCAGCATCAATCCTAATGGTGGGAGGGCAGAAAAGCCTGATGCTTTTTCACTTACCCTACACTGTTTTTTATTAAAAATTTAAACAATAACAGAAAACTATATCTTCTCCTCAAAAAAATTTCAGCTATTAATTTTGGGGGAAAAATTTCCAAGGAATAGATTTGCTAAAGCTTTTTCCATTTAAAAGTATGTGATAATGTGATATTGGACTATGAGGTTAAAATTACTGTGGACTTTGGTACCAGTTAGTTTTGGGGTTTGTACTTATAATTAAGTAAAAGTTAATGTGACAGAGATGCAGACATTATATGCAAACAAGACTAGGTGATATTGCAATACGCTAATGTACAATCTGACTGTTCATTTTCAGTGGTAACTGTAAAGGGCTGAAAGAAAAAAAATCTTTTTTTAATATAATGATAATCTTTTACTGGAAACATGAAGTATACCAAATGAAAGTATATGGTAGAGTATTTTATTCTTAAGGATAATTTATGAAATTTTTATTGGTGTTTCCTTTTTCAACTGAATTTATAAATCAAGAATAAGAGGAAAACATTGGTTTCCCTCACTCTATTTTCCATCTATATATGTGTCTCTCTCTATATATATACATACACATACATTTTTTAAAATATAGGTCCTAAGCAAATGAAGTTTTTTTCTGAAAATTAATTTTTATGATCTTGCCCCTAGCACACTTTGGAAAAAGTGGGATTTTACAGAAGTAACATTTACTATTAAAAATAATGAAGCTGAAAACAAAAGGCAAAGGAAATAAAAGGTAAGCAGTGAAGGGTCTAGGGGAAGGTAAATAGTAGAGACAAGAACTCAGAGCTGTAGATGCAGCTAAAAAGCTCTATTCATAGTATCACCAAAAATATTTGATGTGGAAATTTATATAGAATCTGAAAAAATATTAAGAATTGAAACAGTGCCAAAGCAGGGCTATAGTATGGTTATAGCCATCCAAAAGGACAGTGGCTAATAGAGAACAATATGTGGGTTCTTCATCTATACCCAAAATTGCAAGACCACGCAGGTTTAGGGAACAATAATGGAATTTATTAAACAAACGGGGGAAACAAAGATTCTCTAAGGCCACAGGTGACCAGCTATCTCACCCCAGATAATGTCCACAGTGTACAGAAGTCCCAAGCACAATGCCACTCATCCAAGATGGCGCTGTCCCATCAACAAGGGCCTGGAACTTGTGGCAGCAGGCCAGGATCCAACTGACTGCTACTAGAGGTGCTCACAGGTAGGGCTGCTGAGATGATGCATAGTAGCCCATGGCCACAGTCTAAAGGTCGGGAAGCACAGCAAGGGACCAGACAGTAACAAAAGCAGCAGCACCGGAGGTGGTTCTGGATGACTAACAGCTCTCAAAGGTGAACTGGACACAGTGCTGGTCACCCATCAACAATGCTAGATAGGACTGGTCAGTAGTGCCAGTCAGTACCAGTCACTAGGAGGTAAGTGTCAGAAACACCATGTTAGCAGCTCTTTGTAAGTTGTTGGCCCACACCAACAACAAATAGCAACTTGGGACACCAGTCCTGGGGCCTTTGGTGCTTTTTTTTCCAGGCAGTGTCAGAGGCAGGTGCAGCAACCCCAGACTCTGCAAAGCTCTTCAGCTTCTCTTCTTCCTTTGGAAGCCGGCTGATGAATTCTTCTTTCTTTTTCAGAGGTCAGGAGCAGCCTTTCTCAGGAACAGAGTGCATCACAGCATAAGTGTCTCAGAGAGTGTGGGAGGCCCCAGCTGGCTCCTGCCCTGCCTTATTTCCTCTCTTAAGGTCCCTCACCTATTAGTATAAACTGTTATCAATCCTATAGCTGATTGGACTGTAGCACCAATCAGTTCATAGCTTGCACCTGATGGGTCCTTTCTATGATCCAGGCACCAAATTCACAAGCATTTCTACTGCCTGCAGCTGGAGAAGCCACAGCACTAAGGCTCGCACCATGGAACTCCATGATCCTCCCTACAGCCCTGAAGTAGGGCTGCATGCCCTAGGGTTGGTGGTAGGGGAACCACTGTGCCCGCCATCACTGCTGGTCTCTGACAACAGCCTAAGCCCCAGTGGGACCGCTTATGGCAAGGAGTAAAATGCCTACCACCCACTGCCACTTGCACTGCCCACAAGCAGCTTCTGGAGTGAACACAAAACTGTCACTGCTTTTCCAGTAGCTTCTGCCACTTCGCCAATGGTGGAAAAGAGCCAATTTTGCCCCATGGCTTGTAGTGCAGGGCACCAGTTTCAAAATCTCGTTTGGTGGATATTCAGTAAAGATCAGAATTAGAATAACTGCCCCGCCCTCCCCTTTTCCATTGCTCAGATTCAAAGTATGTACCCTTGTTTTTATTTTTTTAATTTTATTTTTATATTCTCCATACAATTGCAACCCCCTTATTTTGACCCCAATTTCTCCTTTCCCCACTCCCCCCATAGTGTGTCTCTGTGTACCCTTCTTTTTAGAGGTAAGGAATTAGAGACCATGAAAGTTTAAATAATTTGCCTATAGTCTTCTGGCAAGCAGCATAAAATAAAATTTTCAGAAATTTAGGAATGGACTCTGAGCTGAAATTAGTCTTTTTCCATAATTTATGACAAAAACCCAACTTTCTACATGGCTAGTCTTGCTAATTCATAAGGAGAACTTGTATAGGGCATGTGATTTGGACCCAGACTCTCAATTAGAAAATGAAATTGCACCCTCTCTCCTTCCCAGGGAGAGATGTCTCAAGATGCTGACAGTGGAGAAGACAGGATTTTAGCAGAGAACAGGGCTGATTGAATTTCTAAATTCTTGCCATAGGATTTGGGATTTCTGGTGGACTT